CCCCGCCCCCCGCCCCCGTGCCGCAGTCCCCGCTGTCGCGTCCCCTACCTGAGCTGGCGCGGCTCGCAGTCCACGCCGGGCAGCAGCAGCCGGGCCGCCTGGCGGACGTCGTCGCTGTCCAGAGAGAAGCTGCGGCGGTGGCCGGCGTGCGCCACGGCGACCCGGATCCACTCCATCAGCGGCGGCAGCACGAGGAAGGGCCTGGGGGGACACAGGGGTGAGGAGGGCGCCCACGGGGACCCCGGGACCCCGCCCCCACCCGGCCCCCCACCCCTGTCCCTGCCTGGGGACCCCGCAGGCCGGCGACAGCCTCCCCAGGCAGCCCGATCCCGTGGGGGACCCGGGAGCAGACTCCACGCCATCGGGGGGACTCGGTTTTCTCATCCGTGCACCGGGGACACCAGAGTGACTGTCCCTCCTGGCGGCCGTGCAGACGGGAGACAATGCGTCACTTGGAGCACAGGGGCGCAGAGAGATGCCGGCTCCCGCTCTGCACCCAATCCCCAGTGTCCTGGGCGTCCCGCCCACCCGGCCCGGGGCACCCAGGCCAAGCCCACAGCTGCCTGTCCAAGCCCAGTGACAGCAGCAAGCCTGGCTGGGGGACCCTGGTCACCCCCAGGTGTGGAGCCTGGGTTCCCCGTGGGGTCCTGGCTCTGGAGCTTGCTGCAGGCAGTGAGAGCGGCCGCCTGAGCCCAGCCTTAAGGTGCAGCACCTCCCATTCCTTCCAGCCAGCAGAAAGCTGCCCTGGTCAGGATTAAGGGTCAGGGGCAGGGGAGGGGCCCTGTGGACCCTCATCCCATCCCGGGATCCCGATCCCAGGCAGGAGAGCAATGGTAGTTTTACAGACCACCCAGGTGAGTTTAAGGCGCCTCAGAATCAGCTGGGGTCTTGTTAGCGTGCAGAGCCTGCCCCTCGCCCAGTTCCTGGCAGGGCTGTGTGCCCAGGACTTCTCTTCCGAAGTCAAGGGCAGGGGACAGGCTGGGGACCTTAAAATGCAGTTCCGGGCCACTTCAGGAATGCAGACTGCATGGAGTCCAAGACCACAACTTTAATCAACAGATCCTACCTGTGACTCTGACTTAGGGGGACCAAGGACCACACTTCGAGAAACGCACAGAGCTAAGCCTCAGGGTGTGTGGGGGATCAGAAGTCCAAATGCACTCTTGGCCGCTCTCTTCTACCTGTAAGCAGTGGTGCAGCCTTTATATGCATCTCTGTCAAGGTGATTCTACATCCGAACCATGTGCCACGGGCCCACCTTGGAGCTAGGTGTGTGTACTCATTTCACAGAAAGGGGGACCCACACGTAGAGGGCAAGGAGCATAGGCAGGAGACAGGGCAAGGAGAGGTGGTGATCGACCCAGGTGTGGGACCACACAGGCTGTGTGCTGCAGCCTGAAGACATGGATGTTCTCTGGTCCAGTTTCCCAACATGCACCTGGTACCCCAGGGAGCCATCTGGACAGGCTCAGTTGGGCTGTGTGGTGCAGGCCTCCAGCCCTTTAACAACCCCAAGCCACACTTCAGACCCAACGGCTCCCTGAGTGCTTCTCCCAATCCCTCTGCCCTGCCTGCCTCATTTCCCCCAGCCCCATGGCGCCCATCAGTAAACAAACCCCAGGAGGGCAGGGACCTGAGGGGCTGGGCTTGCTGCTCCTGCCCCTGCCCTGGGACAGCGACTGGCAGGGGTAGGCACTCAGTAGGTGCTTGTTCACCAAACAGACTAAGACGCCAGTTTCTTCCTGAGTGAAGCTAATGCGATCAGGCTTCTGGGCTGGGGTGACCGCCCTTGTCCCTGGGCCACCGCCTAAACTGAGTCAGGCACTCAATAAACACACGCTGGCTGGAAACTGAACTGGACACTCTCTCAGGCGAGGCAGGGCTTGTGTTCGTCACTGTGTCGCTGTCACCCTTAGAAACTAGCCCCGAGTGGCCGGGATTCTACATCCGAACATTCTACATTCTACATTCCCTGGCTGTCCTCAGAGGCTCCTTCTCTTTCCAGTGCCCGGCAGGCTGTGTCACCATCAAACTGCTGCCCTTGATGGCCCAGGCCCAGGGGCAGCAGCGATGCCTGATAAATATCAAAGAACTGGCAAAGACCCCGTAGGACCTAAGGACTCGGCAACTGGGACCGCTGCTCCCCCAGAACCCAGGAGCACAGCCTCCCCGGATTTTCTCTGTATCTCTTCCTTCCTTTCAGGCCTTCTTGCCATCACTCTGACCTCAATAGTTCATAAGCTCCTGAATTCTTTGCTAGCCACTCATTAAAAAATCTTCTCATCTTGCCTGCTCAGAGCGGGGAAATAGCGTTATTTGTGATGTTTTCTTTGGAGGAGTTGGAGATGGAAAGAATTCTAGGCTTTGAGTCAAAAAGAGGGTGTAGAATGCTCAGAAAAAATATAGATCACCTTTCCCTTATATATATTTTAAAAGAACATCGTTTCCCTGGTGCCCACTGCATTGTGAAGTTGTTCCCATTGATTACAACCCGGAAGCAGCCGCAGCTCAGTTTATAGCCCGGTTTGCAAAGGCCCTGATCTCACAGCGAGTTCTGGCTCTGCAGGACGTGGCGGGGGCGGGGGTCTCAGACCTCGAATTCTGGGAATCCTGAGGCAAGCTGGGTCTGCTAACCCCAAAAAGTGGTTGGGATGAGCATCAGGATGGTTGCTGGGGGGAGAGGATCTAGGTGGGCTTTGGTGGGGTCCACCCAGCAAATCTGCAGCACCCAGATTCAAGTGAGAGATGCAGGAGTGTGTGGGATCCCGAGAGGACTGGTGGATGAACAAGCAACATTAATAGCTGACATTTCATCAGTTAGGCACTGCGGACCTGCCAGCACTTGCTGTTGGTCTCCGGGTCTGGCCTGTGAGTGTTTGGGCCTCGGCATCTTCTTCTGCAAAGTGGGTTTGGATCAGGCGATCTATTTCAGGAGTTCCAAGCCATTACTGTAAATGGACAGCTATGAGATACGTCAGACTTTCCAGCCATACTCAGAGCTCAAGTACTGAGCTCTGCCATAGAAAAGGCAGCTACTGTCCACACCTAAATGAACAAGTGGGGCTGTGTGCCAATAAAGTTTTATTGACAAGTCAGCCGGTTGGTTATAGTTGGTCAACATTCACTTGTTTGGTTCCTACTGAATCTAATGTTCTTTGATTCTACTGGACCAGCCAGTTGCCTGGGGGCTTGGAAAGGGTGTGAGGCATGGTCTGGGGAAGGCAGAGATAAAAATTTTGGGAGATTAGAAGATAGGGTCCTTTCACAAAAGAGGTTAGGGTGCCCCTCCACGTCCATGATAAAAATCCCCAAAGCAACAGTGTGTGGTCTGTGGGAAAGGGTTCTGCTGTTGTGATGGGATTAGGACTCGGAGAGGGCGCTGTTCTGCCCTTCCACACTTTCCCTCCCTCTGGAGGACACAGCCCACAGCGCCATCTTAGAGCAGAGGGCAGCCCTCCCTGGACGCCCGCCCTGAGGGGCCCTGGCCCTGACTTCCAGCCTCAGGACCCTTGTTTATAAGGCACTCAGTCTAAGGTGTTTTATTATAGCAGCAAAAATGGACAGGCACACAGTGTGGCACTGAACAACGTATTTCAGTGGCCGTGCCTGTTTTCTGACTGGAGAAATGGGGAGAATACCAAAGCTTCCTTCAGAGGATGTGACTGACTGAACAAAGGCCTCCAAACACATCACAGCCTGGTCCCTGGGGCCGCTTCTGAGCTGGCAGACCCTCCTTTGCACACGTGACTGATGTAAGAATCTTGCAGAGATGACCGCATATTATCCAGGGCCCCAATCCCAGCGCAGGGATCCCACTGGAGGGAGCGGGGAGGCCCAGGAGGACAGAGGACATGCAGCCATGGAAGCCGGAAGGGCATGAGGAAGGTGGCAGGGGCCAAGGACTGGGAGGCCTCCAGAGCTGGCCAGGCAGGAGCCGGGTCCTCGCTGTGCCTACGGAAGGAACCAGCCTGCAAGGCTCGGACGGCCCACAGCCCGGGAGCCTGAGTTTAGATTTCCGGCGTCCAGAACTATAAAGCTGTTGTTGATTTACAGGTGTGTGGCGACGTTCGCCAGCAGCCGCAGGGAAGAGTGGTGGCACTGTAAGGGCGGGTCGGGCTGTGGCCCTCGCCGGTGCCTGAAATGGAGTGCTCAGTGGGGCGGCTGCCATTCCTGTCCTCACCCATCTTGTCCCGAGGTCCCTGGCCGTCTCTCTGCCTGCCGGGGGAGGGCCCGGTCCTGCCCTCTTCCAGGTGGGGGCAAAGCTGCGCGGCCCTGCAGCCTGTCCTTCGCCACCCGCACAGCCCCCGCCCTCGTCCGCGCCTCTCAGCCCTCAGGCTGGCGAGCAGTGCCACGGCTGATGGCGGTTCAGGGAGCTCATCGTTCCGGGGACTCGGGGCGGGAAGGAAAGCCGCTGAACTGATGGCAGACAATCTCCAGCGTTGGTTTCTATAGCAATACTCATGGTGCCCGCTGCATCTGTGGGCATCAGCGCTGGCAGACGGCAGGGTAAGAGGCGAGCCCCTGGTTGCCATGGCGACAGCCCTGCTGTGTGAGGCGTGTCCTCCCCGTGGGGGGGCGTGGCTCCTGCTGGAGAGGAAGGAGCCAGTCTGGACCAGGGCCTCTTCAAGATGAAAGCCCAGAACTCTCCAGGGAGTGTGTTGAAATGCAGATCCCAATTCCAGGACTCAGGAGCAGGGCCTTCGTAATGAGATGCAGGGGAGAGTCCAGGACGGGGCCTCGGCTGGGTGTCCCGGGGGAGGACTCTGGGAAGGAGACCTGCGCCGTGCATGTCGGACACACCCCGCCTCAGTGTCCCCAGCTCGCTCCCGTACCCCTCATTCGGGAGCGGCCGGTGTCCTCCGTGTCAGACTCATTCACACCGACGCCCTTTATCTCCCTGGCACCTCCTGCTCCCGCCTCTGTCGTTAGCCCCTCCACTGCTGCTGGGAAGCAGGGGCCACCACAGAGACCAGGCTGTGACAGAGGAGGCACGTGCGTCCCGGGCGCACCACCGGGTCCCCGTCCTCATGGCACCCGCACACCCTGCTCACGACGCCGCCGCTCCGGGGCACTGTGTCCACCCATCGCGCTCCGTCTCTCTCCGCTCAGGAAAGTCCCATTTGCCTGTGACGATGCCGGCCAAACGCCACCTGCTCTGGGCAGTGTCCCCAGGGCGCCCCCAGTCCTGTTAGTCACGCGGCCCTCTGCCTCGAAGTCCTGCACGCGGCTGTGTGCACAACGCGGTCCACACCCCGCGGTTATAGGCCCGTCTTTACCACCACCCCGACCACACCTTGGAGGGTCAGAAACAGCAGCGCCTGGGCGTGAACCAGTCACGTCTGTGCCCTCTGACCCACACACGGGCACACTGCGGGTGAAGGCCGGCCCGTTACTTCCCACCACGCTCGCGAGGGGCGACTGGGCCCGGCCACGCTTCCTCCTGTGCGTCCTGAGCCAACGCTCCCCTCGCGGACGGACGGCTGTTTGGTGAAGGAGCTGGTGAGGGTAGGACCGAACCCTGGGCTGGCTCAGCCTGGACCCGGGCTCAGCGGGTTTCCCACGGTCCCGGGGGATAACCACAGGGTCGGGGCAGAGATGAAGTGAAATGGCAAAGGCCGCAAACAGCGCTCACGTCCGGTTGCTCACGTTCAGCTTCAGATCATTAAGAATTCACGAGGAGCAAGTTTGGCTTAAAAACTAGGTTCAAAGCCGGCCCAGGACACCACTGAGGGGACCCCAGAGACGTCAGACTCTGGGAAAGACGGTGAGTCTGACGTGGTGGGGCGGCTGGGCTGTTCCTCTGGAGCGCCGGGCCGCCTGCCCCCAAGCCACCACTGCCACAGAGCTGTGGGGTGGGCAGCGGCCGGTGGGAAGCTTTGAACATTCCACATAGTCATGCCCCTCCTGGGACAGGGAACTCACATGGGTGTAGGGTTGTTCACGCACTTTTGTGTTCGTGGCAGGGAAGGCAGACAGGCTACTGCCTCAAGAATCCCCTGAACTAACTTTCCTGAACTTCTCCCCATGCTGAACTCCTCTGCATGCCTCAAAGCCCTGGGAGGAGCAGGCCCTGCCCACCTCAGACTTCCCTTCCTGATGCTTTCCTCTGTTATGCTGCTCTGGCCTCTTTGGTCCTCTTGAATGCCAGGATTCTGCCCCAGAGCCTTTGCACCCACTACCTTCTCTACCTGGCCAGGTCTGGCCTCAGACATCTGTCTGGCTTGCAGCCTCGCTTCCTTTAGCTTTCTGCTCAAATGCTAACTCCTTCAAGAAGCCGTCCCTGACCAGCCCACCTAAAGCAGCCCCTCATCTGTGCCTGGTCCTTTATGATCTGCCCCCTGCGGTGGAACGTGAGCTTGTCGAGGGCAGGCTCTGCTGGGCCGGGACAGATGCTCTGTGCTATCCGAACAGTCAGATGGGTGAGTGAGCACAGCTCGGCAGCAGTTCTGCTCTTGGTGACCCTGCAGGGCCCCCATCCTCGACCAGCTCAAGGAGGAGCACGGAAAGCCCTCACAGGCCCTGCAGGTCGCTGGTGAGGGAGAGACGGGGTCCACCACTGGGCGCAGCGAGGGCAGCCCCGAGAGGGGAGGGAGACGCTTCACCAAAAGAATGCAGGCAGAGGAGGTCACCGTGGGAGGGGGAGATGTGGGGGATGCTGTGCAAACGGGCACAGAAGGGGACAGACAGGCTGTGGGCTGCCAGGGACCAGGACCTGGTGAGCGCTTGGGAGAGCACTGTTGCTCCCCTGGGGACTGACGGTCTCCTCGGGGAAGGAACTTAAAGCCTGGTCCTGGTGTCCAGTCCAGCAGGGTTAGCGGTGCCCCCAGCAGACTTTCCAGGGCAGCCCAGCTGTAAGAAGCATCCCTGTCCTCGATGCCCCTGTGTACCCAGCTGACCATGAGTTCTGTCCAGGGGCACACAGTGGCCAGGAGAAGGGCAGGCACGAGAGCGCCAGACTGTCCAGGCAAGAGCCTGTGAGAGGTGCTCAGAACGTGCTCTCGGGACCGAGAGGGACAGGACTCTGGGAAGACAGCAGGTGGACGCTGAGGCAGCGTCGCCCCCACCACGGCCGCCTGCTTTGCCTACGCCCTGCTTCCCAGGGCCCGGGGGCTCTGGGGGTGGTTTCTGTGGAAGGGACTCATGGGAGCCCAAGGGCTCATGCCAGCCAGGCAGCATGAACTTGGCACCTTGCTACCTTCCTGCGCAGGCCTGGCCTGGCCGGCGAGTCCTGCCCGGGTCCCTCGTGCGCCTGGGAGAATGCGGCTGGCTTCTCACACATGGGGAGAACACATTGCACATCACCAAGGTAAAATCGAATTGG